CCTGAAGCAGGGGGGAGGGGGGGTGAAAGTCGAAGGTGAGAGTCGTGCGCCCCTAAAGCAAGGGGGAGGGAGGGCGGAAAGTGATATTCCCTTAATCAGTTCACCCCATATCTCTCTTACTGCCCAGAGTTATCTGACTTTTCACGTAAAGCAGCGAAATAATTACTAACTTTAACTGTTAATAACTTTTTAACGAATAACGAGCGACAGCTAAAACTTATTGGGTTTTTCAGGGTCATGACCTTGACAACATATGTCAAAGTCGCGGTTGTCGGCGCGGCATCCCCTACAATGCACGACTATCAAACATATTTTAAAACAGGGAATTTTCGTGTTATATAGTTGAACTTTTTTTGTTCATAACTTTTTAACGGACAGCAACCGCCACCTAAAACTTGCTGGAGGTCACTCAGGGTCACGACTTTGATAACATATGTCAAGGTCAAGGTAATCGGAGGTGGCTCCCCTTTTCTTAATATTTACTCAAAAGTTTTCATAACAGCTTGAGCAGTTGAGTAAATTTCTATAAAGCCCATCTTACATAATATTTTGAAATAATAATAATCTATTTCATTTTTCAACGTCAAAATAAAAATAAAAATAAAAATTTGTTCTATTTATAATCGCCATATATGTTGATTCTCTCACCTTAAGAAAACTTCATATGCTTGATAAGAATTACGCGAATTTAGCTAATCAAATAGAATATCTATGAAACAAATATAAATCAAATCGTTGCTTCACAGCCCTAAAATTCTGGTAATTTCAAATTGTTCATACAAAACTAAGTATCAACTAAAAAACTAAAGTATCAACAACACTGACTCAAAGTTTTGGCAGTCAAGTTAATTTTGATTCTTTTAAAATATTTAATGATTTAACTGTTATTTATTTCTTTTCCGTAAGCTTTCAATTCTTGAAAGAACGCTAAAAAAACAATATATTTTTTCACTCAATTTTGTTATTATCATTATAAAAAAGTATCCAATCACCAAATACATTTTGAATTAATTTGAGCATTTGATAACTATCGAATAAACATATTTTTGAGTTATAGAATAAAGAAAAGAGAAGACCCTATAAAATTAAATGCCAAATTTAGTATTCAATATTTGTACCATAGACGCGTGCTCATTAGTATCATCCAAAGTTAAAGATACAATTATAACTCCAGTTTCATGTCATTTAATTAGACTAGTTTTTATAAACTTAATGTTTTAGAGTCAATTCCATCTAATTAATTCCATTTAATTAAAAAATAATCAATGAACAATTTCTATTACCAAAAACTAGAACCATTAAAGTATTGTAGGTTTCTCGCAAAGTATCATTCGTTTTAAATTCAGCTCCAAAATTTACAATCTACGTACAATCTACTTTACCATCTCTACTCCTCTGGATTTATTTTTAATTGACATTTCATTCATAATAAATGAGAGTAATTTCTCTATTCTCTCCATTGTTGTTTTTTTAACATTATAAAACTTTTCAAAACGAATTCCAACTCTCTATGAAATTGTATCACGATCTTAATGCATTTGCTGTAGACAAAGCCTGTTTTTTACCTTTTCACACACAATTATATGCACGAGATAAACAAAAATTCAGTTAACACAAAATTTGTGGGCATTGCTCAACGACTTACCATTTTTTAAGACACTACAAATTCTTTTACACCCTCAAATTGAATTAAGGCAGCTCAAATAATTTTCTGATGCACTGGCTTTATCATGCGCTGACGTCGTAATTTCATTATTATATCTTTTAAGTTCATTAAACGTATTCGAAGATGTTGAAGCTGTCGTCTCTGAAGTTTAATAATATGGTCCTTATTCTTTAATATTTTTTGACTTTTTATAAGTTTTCTACGCAGTGTTGCTGGAGAAGCATCATAATGATGATCATGGATTATTGAGCTTATAATTCCAGTGTTATCGAACATTGATAACTTGCCTGCATTTTCTTCTGTAAAAAATTGAAATATATATATAATATTGAAACAAATTATTTCATATTAATTACATAAATTTTAAAAGTTTTTTTTAATTACTTTGAATCAAAGTTTTTCTTACAAATGTTTGGATGCCGAAAATGATACCCACAGCGTAATTTATTATAGATAAAAAATACATTTCATAGGGAATAAACAATACATTCATGACTTTCATTCAAATTGCAAGTTTACTTTTTTTTTACAAGAAAATGTCAAATATTATTTTAAAAAACCATTTTTTAAACATTAAATCTTACTTTGAAACTTGACATGTTGGAATTTTTTTGGCTTGCAATATCACAATTTAGCACTCAAAATTCTATAGGAAACACTTAATCCTGTTCAAAGTAATTTTTTGTTGTAAACTATAGTTATCTTATTGTGTATTATTATGTACTATTAGTTTCATTGTTTATAATAAATGATTCTTCAGAAATAAACATATTCTCATTCATAGAAGTATCATTGAAACTTATAAGGAAACACAACCAAGTGAATCTCTCTGATTTAAATGAGCTTTTAGTATGTTGTTCTATGGACAAAAATAAGAGACACGTATTTTTTTATACGTGCCGAATTGCACGTTAAAGGGGTTAAATCCTCCCTTGAAAAAAATTGGTTTTTTTCTTCTAGATTGAATATCGTCGAAACTGCTAGAAAAAAATTTTTAGAATAAAAATTGAATGGCTTCAAGAGTACTTTAAAAATATAATAAAAAATATGTTTTAAACTATTTATTTATAATAAAAATTATTTATTTATAAAGAAAAACATTTTTTATTCTAAAGTAGGGGAGACTGAGGTTGAAAGTAACATGGGTAAGTTGTAAAACTTATATAAAAAAACGTTATATATAAACAAAATATGCAAGTGTAAGGAAGGCAGAAGTTTGTAATAAATATATTATAAACTTCTATTTCTTTCTTACACTTTTATATTTTGTTTATAACGTTTTTTAAGTAGGTGTTACAACTTACCCGTGTTACTTTTGACCCCAGTTTCCCCTACTCTTAATGCCATTCAATTTTCATTGTGCACATTTTTTCTCTCTTTTCCAGTTTCGACGATATTCAATCTGAAAGAAAAAAACCAATTTTTTCAAGGAGGATTTTACTCCCTTAACATACTGCGACTCAGCATGTATAAAAAAAATGTGTCTCCTATTTTTGTCCATAGAACAATATACTAAAAGCTCTTTTAAATCAGAGATATTGACACACTTGGTTGTGTTCCCTTGTTAAATCTAAAAAAAAAAAATAAATAAATTAGTGAATTCTTTAACTTCTAATAAAACCAAAAATGAAAGTTACCTCCTGAGTGTTGTTTTCTTAATTCATTGCAAGAAGCCTGTTGTAGAGGATCAAACTCATCATTACCATTAAAATGAATCTTCTGATTAAATTCTGTTTCATAAGGAGGAATTATTTCTGTTGATAGTAACGGTTATAAAGAATGTAACTTTATTAAGTTTTTATTTTAATAACTGAAGAGAAATTCATAGAGAATGTAAAAATAAGCTTTTACCTGACTTTATATTGTTGAAATATTCAACCTTAAATATTGTTGGAACACTTCCCTCTTTTAGTTTTAAATATTTTCCTATCTTGCGAAAACAAGTTTCTTCAAAATGTTCCGAGCATAAAAGACTGCTATTGTTTGGAGTCCAATTCTTGATTCTAATATTATCAAGCCACTTCTTTAAAAGATCTGATTTGTCCACTGGAAACCTTGGTTTACAATGCATTGAAATATTAGTAAACATATATTAAGTTATATTTATAATTATAAACTTTTATTAAATCTTACTTGAAAAAAGAATATCCTGATTTATATATACGCTTTCGTTTACAATATATACAATAGGAATGAGGAGGACTATCAAACCGCGTTGGAATGCTGTTAGGTTTTAATCGTACTTTAAATGCTGAACGGTCAAAGCAATCTTCTGTAAAATGATTAGAGCATAAAATGGCAGAGTTAGTTGGTGTCCAATTTTTTGTAGGAAAATTATTTATCCACTGTTTTAAAAGACGTTGATCTTTAAGAGGAAACCTACAATAAGAGTATACGAAGTAATTATTTCACTTGATTATGTATTTCAAATAAGCAAAGATAACCTTCACATTATAAGTATAATATAAATAAAGCAATGCAATACTCTTACTTGTGAAATGTTACTCTAGATTCATGGGTTCTTATGATATTACAAAAGCAACATCGTCTCATTTTCACAAAATTTAAAAGGCAAATTTTTTACATTGACAATTAAATATTTCTCCTTTAAACTCTCTTTTAAAGTTCTAAATACGCTAACCAAGATACTAGAGGTTAGGTAACAATTTCCATAAAAAGAGAGACAATCATGATGGAAGAAATCCTTATGTGCTATTGCGCATTTTTAAGTCAGAAGAGCGATAGTCGGATGCCACCATTTTGCCGCGGTTATTTGAAGTTGCCGTTATGTCATTTATGATTATACGTATTTTTTGTTCTTAATTCTGTGTGTATAATTACAATAATATAATCAACTTAACTTTTTCTTATGCAATAATAAAAATTGAATATAAAACATATATTAAGTTGGGGTAATCCCGATTGACCACGGCTCAATTGGACACCACCAATCACAGCGACCGGTGCCTAGGAGCTTTGTAGTCTCAACCAATTGGACACGGCTCAATTGGACACAAGCCACTCACAGTTCACAGCGCTTGAGACTACAAAGCTCCTAAGCACCGGTCGATGTGATTGGTGGTGTCCAATCGAGCCGTGATCAATCGGTATCACCCCG